TGATGCAGCCGTGCATGGTGAGCAGGCCACGTGGCAAAAGACGTGTTCGGTGATGGCGAGCTCAGCGCTCGCCCGAGGTGCGATTCCCGTCCCAAGGAGAAGATACATAAGTGAGAAGTATTTGGGACAGCCAAACCTGCCATGGACTGCTGTACATAGCGCTGTAATGCCATTTATCCACATCGTCGTTAGCACTACAGTGCTTTTGCAGGCGAGATTACAACATAAAGCAACATTGCAATTCATGCACCAGGTCTCAAAGCATATCGTGCGCAAGCTTGCGCCGCCCACCGCCAACCTCCGGTTGGCTGGGTGGGCAGCGCACTTGCGCACGCGGCGCGGCAAAGCAGGGCGCCAAATGGCGCGCGTCTATTAGGCTCCTGTCCAACCTCCTATCCTGCCACCTCGAATCCAAGATACCGATTCCAGGGGGAATCGCAAAGCACCTAAGTAGTAAGATCCCCTCTGTTCTTCCGCTCTCCTCCTTCTCCTCGGCGCTGCGTCACGTCTGCAAAGGTGTCAACCTTTCTGACTGTATAACTTGCTAGTAAGTTATCTCGCGCTGCCACTTCCCGAGTATATTATAATAACCGTGCCAAGCTAAACATGCCTTCAAACCGATCCAACTCGAACAGGCCATCGTCGAGCTTGCCATTGGTGGCACAGCGTGTCCTACATGCACCTGGACACATATTATGGGCCTGAGATGTCAATGGAGTGCATAGACGATATCATCTTCCACGAGCCTTACTCACCAAGCCGCCGTCATCTAGGGCGCGTCCTGAGGATAACTTAGCTGGTTGAGCATAAATGGCAATACATCAATAAGATCTCTACCGCCCACTGGTTCAAAGGGAGCCCCTTCTTCATCGTTCGTCACCCGGACTGGCACGAAATCTGGTACAGCCGGCGACTACCCTTCAAGGGCATCCTCCCTGCAAATCGATCTTGGCCCTTACCCGCGGATGAGCGCTGCGGCACCACCCCTTCGCGAGCTGCTAATGAACGTCACCCCCAGGCGATTCCTCTGCCGAAGCTCCAACTGCTGTCCCCGCTGCTATATAGCGCCGTCGCGTCCTCTGCTGGGTATCCGTGCGTGCTAGGCGGCCCTACGCAAGTCAAACTGCGCAAGCTCTGTATCAACCCTGTTATTTTGCTCCTGCTATGCGCTCGCTCAGCGTATACAGCTTGCACGCTGTGCGTCACTGCGACGGCCGGGATATCGTTTTGGGTGTGTTTCATCCCCTTCCACTGGACTCCCAGCTTCACAAGCGTGACGAATAGGAAATACATGAACATGTCCTCGCCTTGCCAGTTGTTTATCATCGAACTTGCAAACGGGGTTGAAGTGAGACGGTCAACTCGGTGTTTGCAGCGACAAGGGTCCCGCAAACGACGCGTTCTCCCACGCCAAGTGCTCAAGCCGGCAGTGGGTGTGCTACCTCTCCTTCCCTTATTAGACCTAACTAACTTTATTTCTAGATGAACTGCCCAAGGGACCGAGCCAAGCCCTCGAGCGAACGAAGGAAACCTCAACCTCCAGCCAAACATCCGCAAGCTCAGGGAGATCATGAGCCGCAACCCTCACCCTCACAACTTCAAGCTCCCGCTATCACTTCCCCACTTCATTGAAAAGTATGGTTCTGAATCTGAACGCAAGATCAAATCCGGAGAGGCGATCGAGGGCAGCGTCGTATCCGCAATATTTGTGCGTCTCCATGGCGAGGGCCAGAAGGTGCATTCTCGACTTTCTCGAGGCCGAGACGTCAATGATCGCTGGCGATGCGACTGCGAAACCATTCGTCATGCATCACAACGTCCTCAGCCTCGACTTGTACCTCTGTATCGCCCCCGAGCTCCATTCACAGCAGCTTGTTTTTGGCAATCTAGACTAGGCATACGAGATCAGACGCGTGTCCCGCAACAATGAGGGCATTGACCGACGCAACAGCCCCGAATTCTCGATCTGCAAATTCTGCATGGCGCATGCGGACATGTACGATATCATGGACATCGCTGAGTGCCTGATCAAGGGTATTGTGAAGTACTTCACCGTCAGAAAGCCGACGCTGGGGTCAGCGAGAACGTCTATGAGCTGGGCTCAAAGCGGCCATGGGCGCGATACGACATGATCACGATGCTGGAGAAGCTGGATTTTCCGCCAGGGGAAGACACTACACGTGTGTCAGCAACTAACAATCCAACTGGACTGAGCTACGACAATGCTGAGGAGACAGACGAGAGGAATGTGAGTGAGGAAAGACCAGCTCGAGTCTGGCTTGTTATTGAGCAGTACGAGCTCTTTATATACATGTCAGACTGAATATCTAGAGTATCCTATGAATATACGGAGGTGTATAGAAAGTGAAAGAATACTATGGAATCTGGGAGAACCATCCGGATGTGTAATATTCATGACATTACCCCCCCGTCTAGAATTGTGTCCTCATGATTATTTACCAGTCAATCCAAAGCCTTCCGATCCTCGTTGGGTCTCTGCTAAACTTGACACCTCCTCGATATCGCATGACACAATGCGTTCCAAAATGACTTGTGCGATTCGATCGCCGGCGCATACCTGAAAGGGTTGATTAGTGGAATTAATCAACACCATGCGCACTTCTCCGGTGTAATTCCAGTCTACGACTCCAGCACCGACATCTATTCCTTTGACTGCTAATCTACTCCGTGGTGCAATTCGCGCATAGGTCCCATGAGGGGCACGCATCGCTATGCCGGTGCCGACAATCTTGCAATCTCGTGCTGGTACCTTAACGCTTTCAGCCGAATAAAGGTCAAATCCAGCAGCTTCTTCAGATCCTTGTTTCGGAAGAATCCCACCCATCCGTTGTACCAAAAGAGTGGTATCACGCGTGAGCATGTGGACGGATCGTGTCAATAGAGGGGGGATTCTAATCGTCATAGGTGCAGGTTTGTCAGGACGTCTAGCATGGAATTTCTGAAGAAGTTCCTGACAATTGGTCAGGTTCGCTCGTGATTCCCAGGAACGGTGATCGCCGTGAGGGCTGTTCTTCCAGAGCACTTGATATTCCAAGTTTCTGTTTCGATCACGACGGGAGTCAAGAATTTCTTCGACTTCCCATTCTTCCTCGCCATTTACGAGGTCAGGGACAACCGGTTCACGTCGCTGTGAGGGATACGTGGGTTCTTTGAAGGGACTGAGAAGGCTTTCATTGAAAACAGGGTGTTGTTTCCATTGACGTGGGAGTTCCAATTTGTAGGCGGAAGCGCCGACTTTGCGTTTGACCTTGAAGGGTCCATATTGCTTATCGTCGAGCTTCTTCATTGGCCTGTCTGTTCGGATGTTTATCCCTTCTAGCCAGACCTTATCCCCAACCTTGTACTCCGGCCTGCTCTTTCTCTTTCGGTCGTAGAAGCACTTCATAGATTTCTGCGCTAGACTGATAGCCACGCTAGTGTCCTCGCTGTCATGCACCATAATTATAAGTATAGGAAAACTAAAGGAATAATAGGTATTCAAATCAAAAAGAAATCGCTTACTCAGAGCTGCAAAGTAAGCATAAACACTTAAGCTTACTAAAAGTGAATCAATGACTAATAATATGACTCAGCTTCTTAGTAATCTAGAAACTATGCTTAGTAAAGGTCTATGCTCAACAGCTATGAATTACCAAAATATAGTAATACTCTAACAAACATTAGTAATAGCTTACCAATACATTAGTAAAACAGACAGAAGGCTGACTAATACAGACAAAATGCTTATTAATAAAAGTAGAAGTAGCTTAGTAATTACAGTAGAATAGAAGAGCCAGTTTTGCTATTGGCTAAGGAACAACAGGCTGAAAGGTATAAATAGGAGAGGTTCTCTGAGAGAGACGAACACACCAACCCACCAAGCACCACACACACTCTCAAGGATTTAGCTAGCAGCAAACCTGCAGTTAATCCCCTGAGCTCTTTAGCTCTCAGAGAATAGACTCCTTTCTTTAAAGCCTAGGAAATTCCTTAAGCACAGTAGAGCCTCTGACTTTCAAATAACCTGAAGGGAAACGCCCTTGGTATAGTGCACGAGTTCACTATTTGACTAAACCCTAGACTGCGAGAGCTAGTGG